CTAAGTCAATGGGCAAAACCCTTTCCATAATCATCAGAGTCCATTGTACGATTCCGACTATGTCGTGAGCATCACTATCACTATCATATAGTGATGATACCAGGTGTTCAAGGCCCCAAATGCCAAATGAGGTACCCCAAAGGCAAACCAATTGTAGATATGCTTAATTTAACACTTTGAAGTGTATTTGATTATTATCGGAAAGGCAAGGCATGCAATAGCAAGACAGGATAGTCCCATATCACGGACATAATTATCAGGTTCATAAGATGCACAGCGACATTGGGACAATCAAATGTTTTTCTCTATATTTCACAACTGAGAATAAAAACGCGTAACGCATATACACGTGCACTGAATACTGTACTCTAGACGATACCGCAACCAATGATATTGTCCGAATTAACAAATGACCGGATTAAGGTGACATGAAAATGATAACATATCTATATACACCTTTACGTAGCCACTCACAGTATTCGTCCGGGAAAACAGGTTTTAGGACTTTTGAGGTCCGGATGACCAAGGTTTCATTTTGAATCGTGACAAGGAACCTGGCAGTGACACAGATGTGTTGAAATGTTCCCTGAAGATACATGTACTGCGACGTAGATACCATTGGCAGTAATGTACTTCCTGCTAGCTAGGCGTGTTTACCCACAGCTGTGTCGCCTGTGCATAAACATTGATACAAGAACATCACAAAGAACGTATTCACCTTGGGAAGGGCATCCACATCACAAATAAAAAACAACAACAAAATGAACAAAAACGTAATTAAACATTTGTACTCATTTGTTGGGTAGTAAGAAAAAGCATGCTGATTCGTCATGTTTTCCTCGAAGTAATATAATCCCTTAGTATGACCACAATGAGACCATCTCTCAGCAATCATTCTATTATTGTAAATGTAGATAATGATACACAACTGTCCACAATGCGAGTGTATATTGTATGTCCCTGTCAAACACGCGATTTGAAACCTAATAGGAAGACAAATAAATATACGTGACTTTACCCTGCTCAACGCCTAAACCTGTCTCACGCACACGTCGTGTCAGGATGTTATCGCACGCTGGCGTATAATGGCTTCTAACACCGTTGGAAGCTCCTTATAATCATCTGATTTTTTCCACTTTTCCGTTCATGTTGTTGAGGAAGATTATTTGAGATGATGGAAATCCTTGCAGTTTCTAAACTTTGAATAAATGAGGTATTCATTTGCCCATTACGAACTTAAAAGAATTGTTTTGTTGGAAAGTTGAATGGCTTCTCATGTATTGTTTCTGCTACAAATGACATGTCCATACAAGCATCAAAACCCATATTCATAAGAAATACCTGCCAAAAGCAGAGTCGATTGTACGATTCCGACTCTATCATGATAGTATATCCTAAGAGTCATGAATAGTGACTGAGGAAGACATCTGCCTAAACCACTCATACTTACTATCAACTTTTGCCTTGACACTAAATGCTGAAGACATGTCTATTCCTCAAATGTACTGGATTACAGAGCCCCACAACGGTCCGTACAAATAGGGTTCAATAAATGTACACTCAAACCCCTGACTCCAAGATTAACCATAATCCTTAATATATTCAAGGAAGGACTTTCTATATTTTTACGGATAGTATTTGATACCATTTGCTTTTTAAAATTGATTGGCTTGATTTTTTTTGTAATCTCAGGAGAGAACAAAGTTCAATTATGTAAAAAGTTGAGTTTTCAACTTATACTCTCAAAATGTCAACGCGAGAGGATGTTCACCTCGACTCCACACGACAAACTTCAGGAAAAACTGTATTGCTTGATCCATGGGGCATTTGTCACTAAACGTGATGACTATATATGTAGTCCCATCATCAAAGGTTCAGGACAATGTGTACAAAATGAAAGCAAATGTCATTTGAACAATATGTGAAATGCTTGGTCAACTTCAAAAGAAGTGTTTGGGCTGAGTCACTCAAACCGCTTCCCACTGTGTTGAAAACGAACATATTTCTGAAAGGTTTCTCTTTATATACTTATAAGCAACAGAATCTCTTCACGTGTATGCAACAAATGCAATACCGTGTTATTGGATTGTCTAGTCCATGACTTAATTTTTAGACTGTTTACAGGCCACGGTCGTAGCACAGAAGGTAATACTGTACGGAATCGGGCAACAAACATACACTTTTACAAATTCAAATTGTGAGTGGCGGATGCTACCTAAATGATAGGACATGCTTACCCTTTTCGCGGACACATTGTGTTATCATTTATTTTCAGTCATACATTAATGTAATGTGCACAGCTATTTTGCATTTTGCGCCAAATGGAATCTCTCTCAGATGGTATCTGTGTGTGTTACGTGTGCGTGAAGGTATAGGGAAATATAATAACGTTTCATATGCATTGTTTTGTAATAAAATTGTCAAATGTTACATAGCACAGTTATTGACATAACATAATAATTATTGTCTAATTGATTTTGCTTTGTAGGAACAGTAGTTTCTTTACAAATTCGTTGTTAAGCCAAAGTTCTTTGGTATCTAAATTAATAAGATCTATCTTCTTATCTATGATACTTTAGGCCTATAAATAAATATGTGTACTGTCATACTAACCATGGAAGGGTAACACTCAAGTTCCATTCTAAATCATTTATGTTCGGGGATACGGGTGGCCCAGTCTAAGGCGCCGCGATTCGCTGTGCAGTGTTGCGTCCCTTGGGCACGCCACACACCAATGATTGTGGGTTCGAATCCCGGTTCGCCCCAATTATGTTTCTAGGTTTGTCAGCACCATACCTGTTCTCGAGGGTTTCACAGCAGTGGTAAACGTTTGAGACCTGCATCACTTCGAGCTTTCCTCCCACATTAAGCTGACACGCCGCGATATAACTGGAATACTGTTAAAAGCCGTGTTAAACCCAACTCACTCACTCATTGATGTTCAATGTTCTACTTCAGACTGATTTCACATATCCTTTTAGATATCACTTGTTATTTAAGATATCCTTATCATTTTAGATATTGTAAATAGACACCATCGATATCACTTTCACCCAATCTGATACATGTACGTAAACATTAAGGTGTATTGTTACTAATCAAGGGTATTTTCACTTGATAAGTTATAACATTCATCAACTGTGACATGATTTCCTTCTATATAATACAATTTAATTACTCTTCTGAGGCTATGCATGTGCCCCAGGGGGCAAGAACGGGGGCAGGGCAGGGACAGGAGAACGGACAGAAGATATCCAAAGTACCCAGTGCTTGAGTGTATCTTAAAGCCTGACGACGTGGGTCATGCTGTCAACCGCTATTTTGACCCGAGCTCAATAATTTACTGGACTCCGTGATTCAGCTGGGATAATGCTGAAGCCTTACTCAATAAATGTGTATATTGACATATCATACGTACATATCCCAAATATCACTGTTACAACTGTTACCAATTAACTACATTTATCATCCAAAACTGGCTCCCACAGGAGATATCGCTTGGATTAGATCAAGCGATATCTACACTGTAGATATCGCTGCAATGAATTTACATCACAATGCTTTGCAGACTATTGTGACGTCACCGTTACCATGACGTCACAATCAAATGACATCACTAATGGCTCTGCTACTGAAGCTGTTAGCAGTACACTGAAAACACTGCTAATTGCTGTCTACAAATTGAAAAAGTTGGAAGAATGTTGTTGGATGATAAATAAAATCTCACCCTCGTGTCTTTTGATATCAAATATATCAACACTCGTTGATAAAAGTGGCAAAAATTCTCGGTAAGCCTCGGAATTTTTCCACTTTTATCAACTCGTGTTGATATATTTGATATCAAAAGACACTCGGGTGAAATTTTGTATGTAATTTCTTTTGAAAATTCGTCTGTGATCTCAAAATTGAACAATGAAAAACCTACTAAAGTGGATAATATTTACTTGCATCCCCTTTCAATTTTAGATGAGAAAAACCTTCCAGAAATAATTCAGAAAAATACTAATACGCCCTGGGGACTGGCATTTTGTCTTTCAAGAATTATCTGTGACTGTGACTGGATATGAGTCATGAGTCAAGGGTTTCTGACGCATATCTTTCAGAGAGACAGTCAATGGATTATTACAAATTTATGAAAAAAATCAATGTTTTGGCTGGCATGTGTTTTACCTTTAGTTGCGGTGCTTAAACAAGTCAAGGTGTAACTTATTTCAGGTTTATTTATTATTCTAGGCAAAGAGAAACACACTCGACTCAAACATACAAATGATGGTTTGAGGGCCCAATCTTTGAATATACTTTTTTCCAACCACACTGTATGAACAACAGCCATTTGTATAGACAACACAAAAAGATAGTTTCATATATATATACTTCAGTTTATGCTTTATTGGATTGTTTCGGGGTTACTCGGTAACATGTTGGTCGTTTTCGTAACCACCCAAATTACCTTGAAAACATGCATTGTTTCAACTAATCCTTGGATACCAAAATACCTACTCGTATGACGGCGACGGAAACAAGTGAATCACATTTAGTGGTGATCCTTTGTGACAACATGGGCGTGGGACAACCAGTAAACAACAAGACACATGAGCATCGGTCGTAAGACTTCACGGCGATAAATTACACAGGAAAGCATCTCAGCCAATCAACGGAGGACAATTGCCAAGTAATCTTCCCTCGTCATACGCGGGGATCTTTCCGCACAAACCTCACCACAATAGGCCTGATTCGCAAGATGTGTCGTGATTTCATGAACGAGGAATGTCTTTGTTGCAGATGAAAAAAAACCGGCACCGGTTAGCAAAGTGCGAATCCAACAGCCCTGGGTTCATTAAACGTGTCAAAATCAAAGCGGTATTTCTCTATCCGTAACTGCCACCGCTAACGTAGGCAGCTGAATTAAAGCAAAGGAAAGTTAGATAGTCATTCGAAAAGAACATCCCTTTATACTGGGTGAAAGGGTACTTTGTTTGACGTTCTCATTGAGCTCGTGGTTTGCACACTGACGAGGTGCCATGAGCCTATAACACCATGGACAAACAATGTTAGGTCGTCCACAATCTCCTTTCTTAACTCAACACCATCACATACCCTGTTTGTCTTCTCATGATTACAAACTGGCCCTTTGGTCCGTAGAACTACCTCAACCCACCGCGGTCAAGCTACACAACGATACATTAGCCCACACAATAGGGGATACAAATTCCAAACAAACTTGAACTGAAACCTACGCTTGTCACCAGTGCTATATGACTGAGCGTATGATTGTCACATTATCTGCCGGTTCTACTGTGTTTCTGCTACTGCATCGTTGTGTTGTATCAAGTGTGCATCCCGCAAGTGTCAATCTGTGATCTCCTGTACAGAGCAACGTCTTGCAGAGGTTCCTGGACACCATGTTGCCCAGGACTGTGTTTCAAGTTTTACTCTTGGCCTATATAGCCTCTATTACTAATGGACAGTTTAACTGTAAGTATTGTTTTATGTCATCCATACGAATATATATGAATAATTAGCAGTGAAGAAGATAAAGCCGGTAGTATCGCTATCAGTTTGGTTTGAATTATATTCTTTCATTGCAATGAAGTGCAGTGCGTTAGCGCTGTTTGTTGTAAATCCAGACCGCAGGTGTTAAATTGGGTTTGAATTCATTATTTCCAGTTAAACCTGAAGTCACCTAGCCAGTATTTACACACAATCATGAAGTAGGGCAATGGGAGTACACAAGTCATTAGCAGCTTGCCCCGATTACCATAATTCATTCTGAGCTTACTGTTGACGTGACATTTACTTTCACGGCAAAGCAGATTTCCAGGTGTATTTTGACTCCAGCCTGTGTAATTGATATATTTGCATATTGCAATTAAATGACTAACACAAACTTAGGAAACGTTTCACTGAAGTATGCAATTAATTTGTGAAATATAAATACATTAAATTATATTATTTTAACTACACAAGGGACTCGTTGATTAGGGTCATGATGAATGATATATGTCTTCGTCATTAAGCGGTCCGTTGACCTCTGGCAATCCTCTCCAGGACAAGGTATAGCTTTGAGACACGAATGAAAATATACATTCAAACATATCAATTACATTAATCTATTACACTATCGTTCCATTATGCTTGTGGAGTCTTAAATGCATGTAGGGGGTTGTGGTTTGTGTGCTGTTTTGACAGCTGAGAAGTTCACCCGAACTAACATGTATTTCTGGGTATGTGATGTTGACTTATCCAGCTGGTTTGTATAAAGCTTAAGCTGACAAATACAAGGTTTAATAGCGATGTGGAAAGACGTCCACGCCTATTTCTTTGTATTATGCCACGTTGGGACGCCATCATACTTTCGTAGTTTTCCGTGGGCACGGGTGGCCAAATCGTCTAAGGCGCCGCGATTCGCTGTGCAGAGTTGCGTCCCTTGAGCACACCACAAACCTATGATTGTGGGTTCGAATCCCGGTTCGCCCCGATTATGTGTCTAGGTTTGTCAGCACCATACCCGTGCTCGTGGGTTTCAACGAAGTGGTAAACGTCTGAGACCTGCATCACTTCTGGCTTTCCTCCCACATTAAGCTGACACGCCGTGATATAACTGGAATACTCTTAAAAGCGGCGTTAAACCCAACTCACTCACTCACTCATAATTTGCCGACTAATTGCTATAACTTCTTCATGGCATATACACGACAGTTCAGGGCCACGTCTTACCCATCTCAACAGGTGAATGAATGGCAGGATGGTTAAATAACACACGCACGCACGCACGCACGCACGCACGCACGCACGCACGCACGCACGCACGCACGCACGCACACACGCACACACGCACACGCATGAATATATGTTGGACATGACAGTTTCTGCAAGCTGATTGGTATATACAAAAGGTTGGTGACACATGTACAGTAAATTATGGTAAAAATGGTCTCCTTTGTTTCAGTTTGTCGCTTGCTACAAGGTCAATGTCAGGCCATATGTCCAGCGGGTTCTACCACTCTGTTCCAAGCCCCAATTCTGTGTCCCTCCAGGAACTACTGCTGTATTCAAGATAGATCACAACGAACGACAACGACAACAACGACAACGCGAATCCCTACCACTCGAACCCCATATCCGGTAATCACAGGTAGCACCATTCTTCCGTGTTCAGGTCAACTTTCTCATAGTTTAAACATAATCGGAAATAGAAAAGGTCATATAGAAACGATCAAATGCATACATTTACTTTATGATTAGATCACCCAAATCTGATTTCACTTACATATTTGACTGAATAGTCCCCCTAGTTAATAAATTTCGTCCAAGACTTTACCTTGAATATCTTCAGCAACCTATTACTCGCCGTAAGAAGCGACCGACGGGATCGGATGGTCAGCCTAGCTGACCTGGTTGATGCATATCATAGTATCCCAATTGCTTTGATCGATGCTCATGAAGTCAATCAATGGATTGTCTGGCCCAACTGGAATATTGCTGAGTGTTGCGTTAAACAACAAACAAACAAACCTTGACGATCTGGCATGGTTCTGGTAGATCGTAACACACAACACTTGATTAGTACGGGTTTTAGTTGTGAGGTACATGAACATGTGGTTAACTAATAGGTATTCAATGTGATGTCACACTAAACTAACACTTACTACTACTAAGTGCATTGTATAATGTATTCCTATTTTGCCAGAATGCGGGATAGGACTACAGTCCCGTATAGACGTTTCTTCACGGATTATCGGCGGTTCCAATGCTGGCCGTTGTGAATTCCCATGGATGGTGTATATATATAGAGAAAACAGTCCATGCGGAGGCAGCATCATCGACAGCAGACATATAGTGACAGCTGGTCACTGCCTGAGGTGAGATGCTGTTTGTTGAGATAGGATGCTTAAAGGGGCACTTTCCTCGTTGATCCGGTTGCTGTTTCCAGACTAAGCCTAGTCATTGTAATTAATACCTTGTTCTCCAAATAATTCTAGGAACCGGAAAATCGCAACAAGATAGCAAATATTTGTATTGTTCATTAGTAATCACTACTTAACCATCCCCGCTCATCGTGTGTATTATATAGCAAGTGTATTGTGTTATGTTCTCCTCGCCCCATATTACAAGCGGCAATGGTACAAGGAATGGAATATTATGTTCAGAAAATACTTATGTTTTATTGCCTTGAATAAATCTTGCTAAGAACGAATGCACACTGCCAAATTCCCCGTTATACTCGTGATGTGCATTTTAATTAATCCTGCAAACGTTTTGGGGAATATCTCCATTTATTTGGGAGAATATTTCCATTTACTTCAATCAAATCTAGATGATTAAAATAGGCTGATTCTAGTTAGCTCTATGAAATCAACTGTGGAAAAAATGTATTATGTAACTTAAGAATGTGTATGTTTACTCTTGTGGAAAGGGAAAATAACGTAACCTGAAAGAAATGGTCGGATGGTTCGGTTTAGATATGATACAACTTCTCGAAATATCTTACACGTGTATTGAATCCGGATCTAGATTTGATTGGCTGTCCAGTGAAGACAGGATAGGTTTGTTCCTGTCCACCACTTACAAAGAAGACCCGTGAAGATCCGGGTTAGAATTGGTCTTCAACAACCAATGCTTGTCGTAAAAGGCAATTAACGGGATAGTATGGTCAGGCTAGCTGACTTGGTTGATGCATGTCAGCATATCCCAATTTCGTGAATCGATGCTAATGATATCAATCAAAGGATTGTCTGGTCCAGACTCGATTATTTACAGACCGCCGTCATACTGCTAGAATATTGTTGAGTACGGCGTTAAACAAGAAACAAAGAAACACAATATATAGCCTCCCCTGGTTTGTATTCTCGGGTAAAATATTACATTTCATATGGCTGTTGTTTGTTCTTAAAAAGCAAAGAGTTATCTCTTTGTAAAACATCTGTACAGCGCTCCATCGTTAATTAGATAATTACCATTCAGATATACAGTTTGCCATCTCCAATACTATCGCGACTTTACAATTAAATCTGTTTACCCTTTCAGTAACGTAGCAAAGTCGCAGCTGACGATAACTATTGGTGAATACAACACGAATGAGTACAGGCCCAAGGCGGAGTTTGTCGTCCGCAATTACAGAATATTCATCCCGTCGACATACCAATCCCAGTACTACAGTAAGGGTCATATATAAGTGAGTGCGTGAATGTTGTCTAACACTGCAAACAGCAATGTTTCAGCTATATTACAGCGACATGTAAATAATCGAAGCTGCACCAGGCATGTAAATGCCTGAAAGCAATGGTTCACATAGTCAGGGCAAGACGATGCTCAATCAACCAAGTCAGCGAGCCTGACCACCGGATCCTCTTTGGTCAGTTCCTATGGCTAACATGACACAGGTGGTCTTCCTTGGAAGATATTGCATATTTATACACACGGAAAACATTCCCGATCACACTCGAACTTCTATGTATCATTTTGAAATATCTACATTGATATCATTTTGATAAATGTCAAAGACACCACCGATACTTCTTGGGCAGTCGGTAAAAGAAAATCGTATGTTCCTCCAGATAATCGCTTGTATGGTCATATGTATGGCACAAAGCAGAAGATGAAATTGAAAGGGTCCATAAACTTATTATTATTGCAATCAAGTTCATCGAATTCTGTTTCTGTATTTCACTATGTGTATGTAACTTTGTAGCAAACAGTAAATATGTTTTGTAAAAATTTAAAACAGGATACGTTTAAATAAGTGCCTGTTATGTAAGGAAATATATAGTAAGCGCTGCATTACTTTTCCCTGGTGTATATATAAATTACATTATCATAAGTTATCTTAGGTTATCATAGGCAACTAATATATACGTTACCTAAAGCCATTAGTCATTTATAAAAAAAAAACATTCGTGATGTGGTGACATAGAAAGTTGTTTGAAATTATGGACATAAAGGTGCATTGCAAAGCAACTTCAGATACATGTATGCAGTAAACGTCCCAGTACCGAGCGTCAAACCAAACTTCTTGGGTTTCTATGTACTAGTACATGTAAGTACTCAAATTACGCTTTTTAAAATCTCATTTAGAAGTGCAATGGATGTATTATCCAAACCAGTCTATTGCAATGATGATGTTTTTTTCTAGGGGATGACATTGCAATGATTAAACTAGATGAACCAATCGACTTTTCACGGTATGAGTGCCTCACACCAATCTGTATTCCCGAGTCCTGGAGAAGGTTTTCCGGAGTGTCTTGCACTGTGATCGGATGGGGCGTGACACGTACAAACTATACATGTGAGTGTGATGTATATTACTTAAACATTAATATTTTCAGATTTCAAGGTGTTATCCAGTATTTGATACCCGGAAATGTATTTGAAACCCAAAGTGTTTATCGACATCATATGAGGGGTGGCTGAGAAGTTCAGAACCTGAATGTGATGGAATGAGTTGATGGAGTTGGATGCTAAATAGTTTGTCAATATAATCCCCTCCGAGGTCTGCACGCTTCTGCCAACGTGCCTGGATCCCACATCTTTGTCCTGATGGTGTAAAATGTCCACCAAAGCAGATGGTAGGATTAGATTGTATTGTGGCTGTTAACCCTCCAGCGCCTCACAGGTAGCTTGGGTTGTATACTCCCCATGGAGCTGAGAATGAAAATCGAGTGCTCACTGATCCATTGACCGGGGTAATAATAGTGTAGCGCTATGAGCATCCACTTGGTGAATGGAATCTGGCGCATTTTCAATGCACTTCTTCTTCTTCTTCTTCTTCTTCTTCTTCTTCTTCTTATTATTATTATTATATTGGCAATTAATAGTCTTTTGGGATGTGGTCCACCAGTATGATGTGTTTTAAATTCCAGAGAACCAAAGCCATTATATTGCCACCTGATGGAACAAACTTTTTCTTCTTCTTTGGAGTAGGCGTTAGATGTTTCCACTGCTTTGACTTTTGTTTAGTCTTTGGGTGATAGTGGTAAACCCAAGACTCACCTGTGGTTACAAATCCCACGATAAGAGTAGCTTGATCTGCTTCAAAACGACGTAAATTCCCATGAGATATTCCCATTGTCATGCCAAGTTCGTTTCTATAATAATTTATCTTGATTTTGCGTTTTAGCGTACACTGGGATAAGTCAAGAACATCAATAATATCCTCGCTACGACCCATTCCAGTGAACAAAACAAAGAAATGCACATCCAAACTGTGGCCTGGATCCGTTTCTAAAAATAAATTTACCTCAGTATCTATCTGGCACATCTTTATGATAACTTCAATGATAGGCCAAATGATCAATGATGACTAATACTTGTAATCGTAACGGGATGTTCATAGTGTTTGGTCCTCACTCTATGAGGTTAATACTCCAATGAACTCACACAAAGTCCAAACTTAAAAAGATATTGGCATAAACCGAATCCGCACTGTTTTATTATCATGAATAGTTATTTACTGGATTAATTAATTCTTGGCAATTATCAAGAGTACAAATGTGGCAGATAAAAGATTTGTGAATCTCCTCAAATATCCTCTAGAGTGTGAGTGAGCAATGTTAGGTTTTAGTCGTTAAAGAATGGCACCATTGACATAAACAACATCTGTGGATTTAGGTTCTTCCAAAAGGCTGGGGCATCCTAATGCCACGTCTTGTATTTAACGTGACTCATCCAAGATATACATGCAACATAAAGAAGCAGATTCACACTGTCTCGAAATTTGCGGGTTTGACATTTACTTATTTTTAGTCCATTGAATTTGTACAGGTTGGGTTAAAGGCAGATGTTGTGTGTCTACCTGTGGTTGAGCAGGTGCACTGGTCTACTGTCTTGCCAGGTGTGGACAGGTGCAAGCCATAATGGCATCTTCAAACCGATAAATACTTCGGTATTCAATGAGCCTAAGTCAATATTCTGTTGATTCGTTTTAGTGAACATTCTTGCATATGCATCATTTGTCATTGGCAATTATTCACTTACAGACTGTGAGTTCAACCCTAACCCCGTGACGAACCAATTATATATGTGCACTCATTATACAGAGGACAGAGAATACCTTACTCTATTATGTTTGGCTGGCCTAAAAAGTATTAACGTTTCGTATAGAAACCGGGAATGCATTGGAAATGTAAAATTGTCCCCAAGCTTCCCTTGGTCTCCAGAAAAATAAAAAAATAACTAATTATGCTTTAGGCCTTTTAAATAGGAACAGAAATTGCCTGCCATAAAATTTCATTGTTGCAAGGCGTTTTTCTTTAAAAACCACTCAGAGTCATAGTATAAGGTATAAAACATTTATCTGTATCTGTAGCTGAAACATCAAATGGTCGGTCCCTAACGGTCAATCGCAGTTGTCTTCACCGAGTCATAAACGATTACACATGCATATAACACGTGAAACGTGTTTCGGATATCTTTCTTTCGATTTTACATTGAAAAGTGAGTAACAGCATCTAACATGACACTAGTTACTACAATGAAGCAATGTCATGAAGGCATGTTTTTTCAATCTATCGATCAAAGTAAATATATTTGATTTAATGATTCAATTAATCATTGTGATGCAACAATATTTCAAGTATATAACCTAACGATATAGCAAACATTATCATATATATTGTCATATCGATATCCCCGCACCTCGACGAGTGTGTTTTATGATTATGTCTGATCAGTATGGTCATATGTATACTCCAATTGTCAGTTGAAATTGTTTATTTCGCCAGAGACCATAGGCCTATAGGACATAGAATCAAACATTATATATGTTTCGATATTCAAATCAGAAAATACATATACATGTGTAGTGACGGGTATAACTTTAAAGCATGAAATACTTAATTTAGGTACATGTACAGTTTTATTCTCCAGCAAATAATGATGGGGGATATAGTTATCATCTGGTCTGTCTACCCGTCCGTCAGTCCGTCCGATATTTCGTTTCTGGAGCATAACTTGAAAACCGGACTACATCTCTAAAACTAATACTAGGTATTCTTTCTTCAAACTGTGCACACACAAAGACCAGTTTGTGAAATGGTGCCTTTTGCTATTTAGGGATTTTAAGAATTTCTATTTCTTTAGCGTCCATTGCAAAACATTTGGTCTTCACTCCGTTCATACATGTAATAGTGTGTTTGTCTGGACCATATCTCTAAAACTGATAAGTATTCATTCATGAAACTGTGCACACGCAAAGACAAGGTTGTCCACTTGTGCCTTTTGATATTAAGATTTTTAAAATTAATATTTTTTTCCGTTGCCATAGCAACAAGTTTGACTTTGACTCTGTTCACATCGGTGTCTACCTGACATAGAAACATAAAATTCCGAATCCAAAGTCCATGGTATTGTTTTGATAGCTTAATAACTACTCTTGTATGCGGACAGACAGCTTAGATAGAAACCAAGTTGGAATAAAGGCAACAGTCAGATGATTTGTTCTAACGACCGAATTTGGGGTGGGTGGGTAGGGAAGGGGGGTGGGGAGGGGGGGGGGGGGGGGTATTTGCCATCTGATGATGACTATTGTCTAAGGTAGTTGAACATCAGGTATTGATGAGATTTACAAGCCATTCCAAGCATGTATTATTATAAAATATATCGTTTCCTTAAATCGACAAAAGTCATACACACAAGCAAGAAATGAAACTAATTTTCAACACAACCATAACCAAACTCCAATGGTCACGAGCTACGGGTAAATCGATATGTTTTGAAGGTCCAGAAGGTAACAGGAAGCACGTTTCATTGTACATGTTATCATTTTAAAAAAAAAATGATAGTGTACGTATATATCAGAGATAATTGTGAATATTGGATACAAATGGGACACATTGCATATAAACTGGTTTGATTATGATTATCTTTATAGATCTGAATCCTCCCCTGTCAGCGATACTACAGAAGGTAGACGTGGACATCGTGGACAACTCCATCTGTACACAGAAGTTTGGGACGAGCTACTTCAGGACTACTAACTATTGTGCCGGTATCCTTGCAGGAGGACGCGACTCGTGTGGTGTATGTAACCTTTACCGTTAATACTATATTATAAATCCATGTAATATTTATAATCACATTGAACGAGTAGTACATTTTTTTTCACAGGGAAATCGCTGTGCTGAGTTGTGTCCCTCAGGCATGCCAGAAACCTATCACCGTGGGTTCGAATCCCGGTTCGCCATGATCATGTTTTAAGGTTTGTCATGACCTTGCTCGCGGGTTTGGTAAACGCCTAGGACCTGCATTGATTCGGGCTTTCTTCCAACGTCACGCTGACAAGCCGTAAAATAACTGAAATACTGTTCAAATCGGCGTTAAACCCAACTCACTCACTCACCCACTCGAGAAGACTACAGACAGCTGATGATATTATGTTTAGGACATATGGATGGACAAATGGTGAAACTTGAGGGAACACCGTGTTCCCTCTGAACTTATGGCTGTAACGTATACCCCATCAACATAATGATAAAAGCGACAAAACGCTTTCCACAATAATATGAAATCTCCACCAAAAGCAGAGTCTGTTGTATGATTCCGACTGTTCAATGAGCATATGTTTATGAATCACTATCAAATAGTAACGATAACAGTTGATAAATGTTATAATGTTATGTTATTGTTTACTGATGATATGAAAATTAATAAATGTATCATAGACTGATATCATCCTATGCTTAGGATAGTGATGCCCCATTGGATTTTGGCGCCACAACACCGATTATACTGATGATATGCAAATTAATAAATGTATCATAAACTGATATCATCCTATGCTTGGGATATTGATGGCCCAGTGGATTTTGGCGCCACAAAACTGATTATACAGAGTGACGTCCCTTAGGTACCCTTATCCCCTGGGGCCTGATACTGATCCGTGTTTTTTTGTCAACACCTTACCGGCTCTCTTTGTCTTGTAAAGTGTTGAATGTCTATATCCTCTATCACCATAATCAGCTGACATACCTTGATGGAATGATGACAGTGAAATGTTCTTAGCAGCATCAAAGTGAGTGAGTGAGTGAGTGAGTGTTTTACGCCGCTTTTAGCAATATTCCAGCAATATCACGGCGGGGGACACCAGAAATGGGCTTCACACATTGTACCCATGTCGGGAATCGAACCCGGGTCTTCGGCGTGACGAGCGAACGCTTTAACCACTAGGCTACCCGACCGCCCCAGCAGCATCAAAGCTAACTCACCCACTCGTTTAACTTTGAACAAAGTGTCACCTTAATTATTCATTTCAGGGCGATTCAGGAGGACCCCTTATGTGTTCAACAATGGACAGATTCGGCAGACGGAGGTTTACACTTGCAGGTCTTGTTTCAACGGGATCCAACTGTGCTGAGAAAGATACCCCGGCTATATACACCGATGTAGCGCAATTCCGCAACTGGATTGATTCTATTCTTGCAACCCCATAGAGTATTAAGTTGACGGAGATATACAAGGTCAACCAGCGCATCGTTGGTGTTGGAAGATTTTGGAAAATCCATAGTGTTCATTTTGTGAAATAATTTTTTTTTTATAATAAGTAAAGAGAATGACATCTTTGCGTTGAGAAAAACATATATTGTATGGCAAATGATTGCATTTTTTAGATATGATACTGTGATAGTACTTTTTTAGTTACTAAAATACCTTTGTCAGTTTATGGCTTGTCGTTATTAATCAAGCAAATTTGGCTTTCTAATGATCGTCTAAATCAAATTGTTAAGAAGGCTATGTCCTTGGAAACTTTGGAGTCTCACTTTGAAACGACAAATAAAGGAACCTTGATCTGGATAGAAAATTTTGAAAAAATGTTGATGAATAACTCGAGCTTATGAACACACCAAATGCTCTATGAGATGTGTGATGTACTGCTCCAGTGTATTAATGTGTGACCCTAATGACCTTTTTATGACATGGTACAAAACAAAGTTTCTTAAAATGAAAAGTTTTGACGTTTTTCTCAAATATAACAGCATGACAACAGTGAATAAATCAGAACGTTGATCTCCACTACAGCTGCTTCTTACAAGGACTACAATAGGACGTAGTTTTCCACTACAGCAGTCTCTGACAAGGACTAAATTAGGACGTGGTCTCCACTACAGCAGCCTCTGACAAAGACTAAATTAGGACGTGGTTCGTAACTACGACATCCTCTGACAAGGACTAAATTAGGACGTGGTTCGTAACTACAACATCCTCTGACAAGGACTAAATTAGGACGTGGTTCGTAACTACAACATCCTCTGACAAGGACTAAATTAGGACGTGGTTCGTAACTACGACATCCTCTGACAAGGACTAAATTAGGACGTGGTTCGTAACTACAACATCCTCTGACAAGGACTAAATTAGAATGTGGTTCGTAACTACAACATCCTCTGACAAGGACTAAATTAGGACGTGATTCGTAACTACAACAGCCTCTGACAAGGACTAAATTAGGACGTGGTTCGTAACTACAACAGCCTCTGACAAGGACTAAATAAGGACGTAGTTCTCTGCTACAGCAGTCTCTTACAAGGACTAAATAAGGACGTAGCTGTCCACTACAGCAGTCTCTGACAAGGACTAAATGAGGGCGTGGTTCTCAACTACAACAGCCTCTGAAAGTGTTAAAATAGGGCGTGGTTCTCCACTATAACAGCCTCTGACAAGGACTAAATTAGGGCGTAGTTCACTGCTACAACAGTCTCTGACATGGACTAAATTAGAACGTACTTCTCCACTACAACAGTCTTTGACAAGGACTAAATTAGGACGTGGTTCTCAACTACAACAGTCTCTGACAAGGACTAAATTAGGACGTTGTTCTCCACTACAACAATCTGACAGTGAATTCGAAAACAGCTTCCGTCAGATATTACCTCACTGCAGCTGCCTCAGTTCACCATCGTTTTTGCACGGTTCATATGTAAACGCACCTGCATCAATGTTCCACGTTTATGGACTGTAAATGTTCGTTAAGCGGCATTTCATCGAATTTAATATGTTGATTGTGTCTTACATGTATATGTCCACAGCCCCACTTGTAACGTTCTGTATAGATTTGCACAACGAATGCGGATATTTAATTGTTAATGTTTAAGGACACTACTATGAACATAAAATCTCTTCCTTTGGACATCTAGATCTTCTCATCAAAATATCTTTAATTGGACATAATATACTAGCGGAAAAAAATAACTGTGCCTCAAATATAGTGGTGTAAATGTTGTTTTAAAAAATAGCAACGTAATATTTGGTCATTCGTCTGATCAATGTTTTATCATATATAAATATGATATTCATTGACACAACCCATACCTTGTAACAGGAGACAGAGCCACACGCCCTGAAACAGGTGTATGTAACTCAATTAACAATGTCAATATCAGGTGTGACCACCGTTTGATACAGGATAGGCAGCGGTTGCCTATTGTAGCCGGGATTGCAAACAGCCCGGTGGATGTTGTTCCAAACGTAACCAAAGATTGGTCCAACTGAGCTAGTGTTTCCGGCTGGTTCTGATCCTGTCGTGTGCGTCCTCATCCCAGACATGTTTCATGGGAGAGAGGTCTGCAGAAACAGGGCATTACAACAATGTTTTGTTGCCTCAAAACGTCCGTTATAACACCAGCAACGTGTGGGTGGGAATTATGTTGCTGCAACGCGGCGTTATGTTACTGCATTTGCGCAAAGGGTAAGATATGACCTCGAACGATCCCGGTAGCGTACGCCATTCAAATGATGACTGGTGTTCTCCCATGAGCTGTGATACCAGCTCATATCATTACAGTTCCACCTCGAAACTGACGACGTTGAGTAACGCAAGCGTCGCTAAAACGTACCCCCGGACGCCTGTAGACTCATGCACGACAGTCAGAAGCTGGACTCATCTGTAAACACTCTACTGGCCCAGATTTGTTTTCTGAACATCAGACGCTGTCTACACCAAGCCAGGCGTGCCTGACGTTGACCTGGAAGCACATATGGGCAAATTGTTGGACATCAGGGCCGGATGTTGTGCTCCGTCAACCGTTTGCGTATGGTTCTGGGCTCAACCCGGGAATTGCATCGATTCCGTAGATGCACCAACCGAACATGGTTGTCTTGTTGACGTGACGCAACACGTGGAGGGCCGGCCCGTGGCATGTCATGAACGTTACCCTGCTGTAGATAACGTCTCCAAAGAGACAATATTGTGTTTCGATGAACATTAAAATGTCTGGCAACTTCGTTTTGCGCTAATCCTGTTTGCAGCCTTCCCACGACGATTAGACGTTCATTTTTATTGCGTAAGTGTTATTCAGGGTTGAACAAAATTGTTGTTTCTTATGAGCACCTGATAGCTAAACAATCATTTTGAGCTGTTCACATTAAAAAAAGACGTTTATGAGTATCATGCCCCCCAACAAAAACGCAAACATCCAAATTGTGCGCCGTGCAGTAACATGCGCGTGCAAATTGTGAATCATGGCCTTTAAGTAGAGGAGGTGTCTTCATGAATATTAAATTTCAGGACAAAATTATTTTTATTGAACTTGACATGAAGCACAGTTATTTTTTGTCGTTACTTTTTATCAACCCACCGATATTTTCCACTGTTGTGATAATACCAACATATACTGATTGTGTATTTCTCCTATGACCACTATATACCATATACTTAACACTGACCCTCAAATTGGTTCAAGTGTGTCCCTTTTGAAAATAAAAGTTTGGAAATTGTGCAACGACATTATAATAATTTATCTGTATATGCAAAGCATAGTGTGGTACAGAGATTTCGTGTTGTTTTTAAGCATGATTAAAAAGTTGATAGAACAAACATCCGCATCCTCATTGAAGATTTTTACAAGTGTATCTATTTCCTAAACATGAACTTGTAAATAAAATGCCACTTCAACACTTATATTATATTGTTGTTTATTGATTACAAAACTACATATTGTAGTGTCCATATATACCCGTATATATGTTAAAGTGAAATTCACAAGAGTACAGTTGCACATATATGAAAGAAATTTAATAAAACAATCACAAGACAGGAATTGCTCTCCTACATGTTTCAGTTTTATCTTCAGGATTTCAGTTACAGGTTACATTATGACGCGGACACATTGTGTCATCACTTATTTTCAGCCATTCATATGGGGACACGGGTGGCCCAGTCGTCTCAGGCGCCGCGATTCGCTGTGCAGAGTTGCGTCCCTTGGGCACGCCACACACCTACGATTTTGGGTTCGAATCCCGGTTCGCTCCGATTATGTTTCTAGGTTTGTCAGCACCATACCCGAGCTCGTTGGTTTCACCGAAGTGGTAAACGTCTAAGACCTGCATCACTTCGGGCTTTCCTCCCACATTAAGCTGACACGCCTTGATATAACTGGAACACTGTTGAAAGCGGCATTAAACCCGACTCACTCACACTCACTATTTGTAACCTCGTAACTGTCCTTATAATAAATTATATCCAAAGACATTTCTTCTTATTGGTAACGTCAATCATGACAACATCGTTTTGTCGTTATTTTCATCGTTAATAATATATTTTAGTGTATTTCTTTCTGCATTAAAAATGTTAGACTTATTTGGACATTTTTGAGGTAATGAAGGAACATTAGAAATAGAGTCAATATATTTCATCTAGATGTGAATTCCTAACTTTCTTCGGAATCCAATAACTGTTGTTCCTAACTAGTGACTTATACTCCTTAATTTCCGACAAAACTTATTAATTTCAATTTGAAGTTAATCCATTTTATTCTTATTTGGTGTTGGGGTAAAGTTAAGTTAATTGTTTTCACATCTGCTTCCGGTTACGATCATGTTGTTGTGAGGCTGCTATTCTTCAGTTGAGCATCGGCCTGGTTTAAAAAAAAAGGGTCGTTGTAAGACGTCTTTCTGTGTCAGGAGTTTAACGCAACTTCCATTATGTTCTCCGTTGTCTTGATCTTGATCGTGATTCGGGTCTTGATACTGACTTGGATCTTGATCAGAATCCGTTATGTTTATTGTTTCCTTTACTTGCTTTGGTCTGTTGGTGTCTCTGGTCTTCACGTCTTTCGTTGGTCCAGGCTTGGTTTCTGCCATTCGCATCTGTGTGAGGAATTATCCCGTCGTCAGCTGTTCTGCTCCTTAATGAATTTTTTATCAAATGTGATAAAGAGACTGTTGGCTGTGTGTATCTGCTCTGTTTGTTTGATCTTTATTTATTTCACTCATCTCGGGGCGGTCGGGTAGCCTAGTGGTTAAAGCGTTCGCTCGTCACGATTCCCGACATGGGTACAATGTGTGAAGCCCATTTCCGGTGTCCCCCGCCGTGATATTGCTGGAACATTGCTAAAAGAGGCACACTCACACACACACACACACACCAAGGGTGTCATGACAATATTGGACAAACGGAGTGCTTATAATTAAGAATGCGCGTCCATAAACAACAGATTAAGGGCCCCAAAGCAAGGTGCATCACCCTAAGTGCTCACATACACAGATGCGCAGCTGGAAAGAAAATAAAATTTAAGATTTTCCCAGAATGTTCGTTTGTTTGATTGTTTGTTGTTTAACGCCGCCAGCTATATGACGGTGGTCTGTAAAACATCGAGTCTGGACCAGACAATCCAGTGATTGACATCACGAGCATCGATCCACGTACATTTGTACTGGTATACGATCACGTGTATCAAGTCAGCGAGCCTGACCACACGATCCCGTGAATCGCCTCTTACGACAAGCATAGTCGCTATTCCCAGAATACTGTTGATGCCATGCATCGAAAGGATAAAGAAAACTTTTTCATTAAAAACGTGACAATTTGTTTCTATTATAACTTGATACATGTATATATTTTTGGCATGCCAATATGATGTGATTTAACAGAATGTTAGAGTTGTACCTTAGTAAAACAGAGCATTATGTAAACGTAAATTGTTTTGAACATTTTGCATTCAGAAAACATTCTACTTTGGCCCAAAACTCTTTAACATGCTTCCAATCCCAATATACATGAAGCAAGGATTCAGTATCAGTTTCACAAAATGAGCATACATTGTAGGTCATCATCGATAATTTTCATTTTAAACAATTCTTTCTTTGTATATATGATGCGATGAATAAATAAATATTGAAAATCAAGTAATTTTACATCTTATGTACATTTTCTGTATCTGATAAAACCATCCTTCCATGATATATCTAAGTCGAGAATGGTATCCCATTTTTCACAGACTGTTGGGAGATTTGCTGTAGTTATAGTCTTATCATAAAAATGTCTGGAGCCTTTAGGCGCTACAAGTAAGTCCATCAAAGTTGTATTTAAATGTTGATTATATAAGATAATGTGATTATTTCTAATAGCATCTTTCCAGGATTTTGGTATGTTTAATAGAACCTGGTAATAGTCAATAATTCTGCCTTTAATTTGGTATAATTTGGTATTTTCTTTTAAGTTAATTGAAGGGCATTATATTATCTTCATTACATCTTTAATAGTGTAAACTCCCTTTAAAAACATTTTTTTATCATGTATAATATTTGTATTTATTGTTACCACTGTCAATATACAGCCGCTAATGTGACGTCATAGCAACGCCGCGTGCCAGTATTGGGGCAGTTGCATTGTGACGTCATGATACTAAAAAATACAACATTCAAGGCCTCAGTTAAGCTTTCACAAGGTTTTAAAATAGACATCTTGAGGGCATTTCAATATGACCTACTGAAACCAACATTTGAAAGGCACGCATCTTCAACTCATCGCCTAGAAATGTCCATTTTGACAGGATACAGTACACATTTAACTGGTTTCTGTCCATCAGGCGGTTACACGTTCCTGGAAGCAAATGGCTTCATTAACCATAATTGACGTGGTTTTTCTGGTGTTGATTAACTCAGTACTCAGAACTATCCCAGTTATATCATATAATTATGACGACAGCCTATAAATAATGGAATCGAGATAGATATTGTAAACAACGATCCAGGCAAGTGTGCGATGACTCTCCAAAATGACCCTCACCGAGTACTGGTGCTACTGACGTAGAAGGTGCTCATGATACTGATCACTGGGTTGCCTGGTCCAGGCTCGAATGTTAACATGACGCGGGGTATACATTTTTATGAAATTGTGACGGGTGCTACCGGTAGAGCAAGAAACGCTTACACTATTCGCGGTCACTTGGTTTCACCGCTAATTTTCACTGATTCTTTCATATTATTTTCATTACTATTTTGCCTTGCCGCTCAGTGAAATCTGTTTAGGCAGATGATAGAGGCTGATTATTCTGATGTCATTTTGAACTTCATGATTTCTGTTTGATAGGGATTATTTTAAGATATCCAAACATAAAATAATATTATATTTTCTATGGTCAGTTAATTTTTAACTTTGAATTTTCGTCACGTGCAATAAGGAATTCGAATTTAAAATACTGTTTGTATGCCCGTTACAAAGTATGTAGATCCAAAGTTACAGTAAGTCTTCAGCAACCCATGCTGGCCGTAAGAGGCGACTAAAGGGATCGGGTGGTCAACCTCGTTGACTTGGTTGATGCATGTCATCGTATCTCAATTGCGTAGATTGTTGCGCATGACATCAATTACTGGATTGTCTGGTCCCAACTCGATTGTTTACAGACCGCTCTCATATCGTTGGAATATTGCTTAGTGCGGAGTTAATCAACAAACAGCATTGTTTGCAGTCAATAATGATAACATTATTAATATTTTTTATATGAAAATACGTTATCATTAATTAAAACAAAGAAAATGCTGTTGATAAATGATTTAACCTGTCCCAGAACCTAAAATTTACGAATTGAAACAAATATTTAATCCTTTTTTTTTGTAAGCGCTAAGGTACCTGTACCGCAAAAGAAATATTCAAGATCTGTTACAGTAACAGTTGAAAATACCTTGCGTTTGACTGGATGATTACAAAGTAAAGTCGATGACCTCTAGTGACCTTGTCAAAGGTTTCATAACCTGCATATACATATAGTCCTTTTAACGAAGTGTATTCAGTGAGAAACATATTAGTTTTCCCTGATATTTTCTTTCCACAAACGTAAGCGCTTGATACTGAAATCAAACATCTTATGTCAATTGTGTAGCAATAGGCCTAATTGGAGTTAAGAGTAACGCTTCTCCAAATAGTCTCTTTATCCACCAACCATCTTAACGTTTGTTTATACGCTTCTGTGGGACGTGCGGTTAACAAGACGACCCCAATCGTGCCTATCTGTCGCAGTTTACCAAAGGCCTTGGTGACACAAATTGGGACATTCAGACTCAGGGGCGTGACACAGGGATCCATCGAGCCAGGACGACACACACTCGAAGATGCTTGCATGCTGGGTCCTGAGGAAATACTCACAGATTTTCGGGTGTCTGCAAAATGTCATGTACCTTCGGTATGTGATCTCTCACCTTCCTATTGCACAAGCCGAAAGCACACTAATTAGTCTGCAAATACTGGTTGAATGCGGGGAAACCCCATTTGAGGACCAGCTTTGATTGGATGAATTGAGAAAAAAAAAATTAATACGGTAAACAAGGGCGTTTTGAGGACGAGCCACTTCGTTGAGTAATTTTACCGGAAGATTAATTGTTTAGAATTTTAAAGAATAATGAGTTTGGGTATATGTAAACATACAAATTATTATGATAACACTTTAATCATTACGGATAACGCGAATTTGAATTCTGAGAACATAGGTCTGTCTCGTATGCTACATAAACAGTTTGAACATGGATGGAACGTCTGGCAACTTATTACGATAAATTTTGTTTAATGCAATATCAAGCATAAATGCATTTACACTACCATATACATAGATAAACACTTACATTATATTCCACATTGTTAAAACCATGACGTCGGATAAATATAGACATAAGAAACTTAAAAGTGACGAGACAGCGACCAATTTGCAGCCCAATATGATTTTTGCAGCTCGATTAATAGTGCTTAGACCTACACATGGATTCGTTGGAAACATTTCATTTAAGGGAATACTAGGATCGGGGAAAAGTCACAGAGGCTTTCTGTACCTTCTTTCATTGCCATTGAATACAAAGAGTACGGAGAAAATTGTAGGATGTACGGATATATGACTGAGTGAAATTCAACATGTCAATTCATAAGCAAACAACTACTGAAATCTACATCCCTTATAATCCAATATCAAATCACCCAAGGTTCTACAAATATATTATTTAGGTGTGTGGATATATGTTGTATTTTAATGTTTCATTTCTATCTAGCATCGATTGATATGATTCACATCAAGTCTTGAAATCATCTTTATCAATTCTAGGTATTTATCTTAAATACTAGCATTAGATTAATGAAAAAATGGAGAAATGCCTTTAGTTTGTAATCTCAAACTATAATACCGTAAAAAAGTATTACGAATATAAAGTAATTGATATAATTTATTCTGCATGAAGAATAATACTGATACATCAGATACTGGTATATTACTTTACGTCTTCAGCGTTGTATAATGTTGTTTGAAAGTCTCTGGGGTGGAAATATTGAGCAATTTTAAACAGATTCAGAAAGTTGAGATTCATCCGATTAACTGTACAGTCAATTAACAAGCGACACTGCTAAGGTAGCAATGTCCCTGTGTGGACACAACCCATCTATATCCTCCCACAGCACTTACACCTTGTGTCCGCATCAGACGAAACGTTGTACATTTGTTCATTATGTCAAGTGAATTTGTTCAGCGTAGACTTAACCTCTTGTCTTTGACTACAGTAGTAGCCCCGTGACCTCGTACGGCTACTTCTTCTACCTGTTGTATTACCAAGACAGGTTCAAGACTGTTGTTAGTTTTCCAAGACGCACCGCCCCAAATATAAACCTTAGTTAATTTCCACCTACAAGCGAATTAAAAGCTCACTGAATGCACGCGCGGGTAAGCAGGAGTGTCTGTGTCTGTTTAATCTAGGATGGTTTCGCTTACTTGATATATTTCAAGAAAAGAAGGAGGAAGTGGCCAGGTGAAGTGGCAATAACGTTATGATTTAAAACACATGTTCGTCTTTGCAGATCCTCATTGATTGAAAGTAGACGAAATGTTGACGCTCTTGACAACTGTTGGATATTTTTTGGTCACATACGCACAGGTACAAGGTAAGAAGGATAGTTTCAAAACGCATTATGTTTCTGTTACCATTTTAGATAGATAACATAAAATGTCTATAAGTGAAAACTGTTAACGTGGAAAAGACCTAAATGCTGTTATATCAAGACTTCCAATGTGTCATGAATGTTTTGAGTCATATGTTTACTGGTAATAAGAGGAAATTATGAAAAATATCTAACTATTACGTTTACCTGTGAAGCCACAATATCAATTTATAAACCTCATAGGCTTTCACACATTGCATACCTAGAACAGACTTACTTAGTCGAAGAGTAATATGTGTTTAATCCTTTATGATGATAAACTCGATTTCAAACCTATAACCTTTCAACATGGAAAACTTGCAAATGTATGTTCTACTCCATGCCACCTTAAAATCTGCATAACATGTGACAACTGTTAGCATGTAATTAGCTGACTCGTCAGTGATAAATGTGTTCATTGGTGTAAGTGGTGCTTTGGTTTGTTTGATGGTAATCGTCATGTTTTTTATCAATATGTGTAGACATGTATTTATGAAGGTAATCCAGCTGCAAATCCGATACGAAATAATTTATAACATTCAAAATGACGCAAAGCATATGTACATGTAATGTAGCTTCAACATTTTGTGTCAGAATTAGGTTTTCCAAATTAAAATACATATGATGCGGGTTTTACGTACGTCAGTTTTATTATTTATTTAAATAATGACTCCAGTGTGGCCAGCTATCTTCCCATCGTAGTATAGTGGCATCATTGTGTCATGTAGTGCATTTGGCATTATTCGGTAGAGAACGGGCATTATAAAAAGAGACGATATACATAAATAATATGTTTGTCATGATGGTATTGAACCAAATGACATTTATTTTGGCAGAAACAAAGGAATATTATTTTTATATCCTTGCATGGCTAAGCCGTATGAGATCCGTGCTACAATTAAATTTCGCCAAGAATTCAGATATTGAAACATTGTGTGCATTGGATATAACAACTTGAATTAACCATTGTCACATAATTCTTGCTCATAAGCTAGTCGGACATTTATGTAAAACATGATTGTATCAATTCATGTTTAGCCTGGCATAATATATATCGTCAACGCCAGAGAATAACCAGTCTCGATTGTCCGCCAAAACAGATTCCATTTTGCGTGAAAGTCAAAATAATTGTGAAAAGTATATAAATGGATCACTGAAAATCGGTGATGACACCAGGTGTCGCGAAAAGGGTAAGCATGTCCTGCTCTACCGGTAGCATCCGCCATTCACACAATATGAATAGAAAAGTAACTGTTTGTTTGATGGCTGACGAATAGGTTTACATTACACATATACATGGACGTTGTGGTAATCAAATGAACACGTACAAGGCGAAAGGAACACGTTCAGATAGATAGCGCATGGACATATATTGCAAGCCAGCTTTCGTTCAACCTTTCATCATAATCTACTAAAAACCTTACAAATTAAAAAAAATACAATCTTGAAGATTTGAAAATATTCAATTTAATCTATTGTCAAATTCCAATCACGTGATCGCTACGAAAATAACCTCTTCCTATGAAACAATTCACACTATTATATGAGCTATATAAAAAAGTACATATGGCAATTATTAACAAAAAAACCCGCCAATGTTAACTTGTCACATAACAGACAGAAAGGTAATACTTCATTACGATGCATTCTTGTTCCAGAACCCTGTGGCTATGATGCCCTTCCCCGACCCACGTACCTGCAAGGGCGTATCCTGAACGCCCCAATTGCAGGGGTCTGCGACTGGCCGTGGATGGTGGCTGTTCGTGAAAACGCCTTCCCAAACCTTCGCCTATGTTCGGGGGTTCTCATAGGAAGAGACAAGGTCATCACAACCGCTTCCTGTGTGATGAGGTAAGGTGGTGATCTAGAAGAATATGTTGTAGATGCGAAAAGTACATTGATTTATGACGAAACCTGATTCAATCAATTAAACAGCCATTATTACTGCAGCTGCAACAACTACTGCCAGAATACCGGTGTTGCTACGACTACTCTTAACAACATAACTATGAATACTTCTGTCAATACTACTACTACTTCTCCTATCAACAATACTGCCACTGCTCTATCAACAATACTGTTACTACTCCTATATAAAAAACACCACCTCTGCTCTATCAACAGACCGCCTTTGTGGTCTGGTGGACAGAGCGTCTGGCCGGAGAGCGGAAGGTCGTGGGTTTGATATTTGGCCCCGTCATACAAAAAGACGTTAAAAGATTGTACTTGTTGTTACCCTGCCTGGCGCTCGGCATAAAGGGGCTAAAATAAGGACTGGTCGGCTCGAAGTCAGTTCATTGTGTCTGAGTGGGGTATTCATGTTTAGATGCGGCATGGTATCTCTGTGGGCTAGCACTATATAATCGGCATTAGTCAGGACATGCACACACACACACACACACACACACACACACACACACACACACACACACACACACACACACACACACACACACACACACACACACACACACACACACACACACACACACGTCAAACGTCAAACCCAATGTCACCTCATCTCACCGTCACCGATCAACAATACTACCACTGTACGGGTATCATCTAAGTTACATGATTTCGCTAGGGAGAGTGCTATGTCCTATCATCGGGTGTTCGAACCCAAGCTTCGCCATAGTTATAGTTTCGCGCCCAGTAGCCACCCACACCCCATTCCCTCACTCACTCTTGCAGACTGAACAACCCGGCGGCGTCACCTCTACAGGTGATTGTAGGTGAACACGACATCACAGCGGACTACGAGAACCTCTACGGAAGGAACAACGACACCATCGTCTTGGTCCGAAGCGTCGTCACCCACCCACAGTTCTCCGGAAAAGGTTACGAGTTACATGAAATTCCTTTATTAAAACTTACGATACATATACTGCGTGTGCTACTGTGTTCAATAGTTGTCCTCGTAGTGGCATGATACATTCTACAAGGAGAACATCTGATATATTCGGGAAATGTTGCCAAGTTCAAGTTAGTTTGGGTTATCATATATTACATGAAATGCGATATAACGTTTTGTGGAATTATTCAATATCAAAAGTAATTGTGCTAATGATCTTAGGTAGCATACTACTATTTAAGACATGCATATCACTCAAAATATTTACCTTGTTTTTAAGGGTTGTGGTGTTAAATAAGGATGGACTAAAAATTTATGAAAAGATGGGTTGTTTCAATTTAAATTTGACAAAATATTTATTAGGTTTCAAATTCTGCCTGGCAGTGTTTGTATTATTTATACAAGTCATTATAATTACTAATCCCGATTAGAGTTTGAAAGAGAAAGACAATTTGATGTATAATTTTCGTTTTGAATGAGATCTGAATGATAAGATCTGATTGGTCCGCGTGATCTTGATAAAATACTGCGTTACCCGCTTTGAGAGTTATGAATTTTTCAGCGGGGGAATAAATCTCTTATACCCCGCAACAAGAGCTACAAGCTGCACGTGCATTTCAGAGAGAGCAAAACGCCGCACGCTTTTTCCGAGCCAATGGATGTCACGTGACATAGCGCAAGCTAACCTCAGCTCAATCGAGCAGCTGTTTTCTATCAATTTGTACTTTATTTGAATATTTTTACAATGTCATATTAAAACATGTCGGTAAGATAAATTCGTTGTAGCAGGATCACTCGGGGTACATGGGGGTTTCTGCGTCCCTCGTTAGGTTTTATACCACTCGCCTCCGTTACATGGGGTTTATGGCGTCCCTCGTTAGGTTTTAACTTAACCTGGGATGCATCAAACCCAATGTACCCCTCGTGATCCTGCTACAACTAACAATATATATATATATACTCTTCAGAAAAAAGTAGGGAATACTGGGTTAGCACTTGTCCAAAAAGTGTAAGATGTATTCGTGTCTTGTAATAGTTGTATGATAATAATGAACGAATTGGAAACACATTGCAACCGATCGCATGACAGGAGATGTTATGACAGCCAACGATCGTGAAAGACGATAGGGGTAAGATGGGAAATGTCAAAGTATATTTTTGTATCAGTTGTGCGTTATACGGGCATGATTTGCCAAACATTCATTCACTCAATAAGGCACACAGCGTATGGGTCTCCCAATGGCGGTTTGAAGGAATCTGTTCCACCTTTTATTTTACCAACCTGGTCGGCGACCTATAACGTTGGCTCACACGTCTCTCTGTCCTGTCTCAGACGTGTTCAACGGAGGAAAGGACTTGTTGCTGGCCATGGCATTCCACTGAATTTGTGCTGCTGTTGTCGAACATTGACGATTCGTGCACGGTAAGCACGGGCGTTGTCGTCCTGAAAGACCCAGACGTCTTGCAAACGGGATGGGTGTCAGCATGCTGTCCCGATCGAACGGTCCAGTGACCCTTCCTTGCACAATATGGAATAGAGTTCGATCAGTCACGGTGATGCCATCCCACATCATAACCGATCTAAGTCTGTCATGACGACTCAGGTTGACATTGGCTGGATGTTCGTTTTGACGTCACAAGACATGACCACGCCCACTAAGGAAGTGCAAAGTGTTTGTTTGTTTGTTTATTGTTAGCGCCGCTCTCAGCAATATTCCTGCTATATAACGGCGGTGTGTAAATAATCGAATCTGGACCAGACAATCCAGTGATTGACATCATGAGCATCGATCCACGCAATTTGGATCGATGACATGCATCAAACCAAGTCAGCGGGCCTGACCGTCCGATCCCGTTAGTCGCCTCTTAAGACAAGCATATTCGCCTTTTACGGCAAGAATGGGTTGCTGAGCGCAAAGTGGAGCGGGACCACAGACGATTACCTCAGTTTCGACGTTGTACACACCATTGAGGTCTGTTGGCAAATATGGCGATTTACAAGAGGCCGTACAACACGTGATCGTAGAGCATCGAAGTGGGCTGCTTGGAGATGATTCCGAATTGTCTCTCCCGTAACCCGTTCTCCAGTTGCCTGATGGAAGTTTGCTGCAATTTGATTCGACGTTTGAGCTCAATTTTAGAGACCAATCGATCTTGTACTCTTGTTGATCTCGGACGGGGTCGATCGTCAGCATTTTGGGTTTGTTTGTACCTGTTTCATAGTCTGCTAAACACGCTGACTTCTCCCAGTTTGCAGCACGTCAATAGCCCCTTAGACGCTCGGCGCGCTGCAGACGCCGAATCGCTAGTTCAAACAAAACAGTGAATGAAATGGAAGTAAATCACAACCGTATGATAAACAGAATCAATACGATTGTCAGAAATAATGGTCCACAGAGAATAATCGATCTTCTTTGAAAGTGTCAAAATCTGGAATGAGACCCTACGCACGTGTGGCGCTGCTGCGAAATATAGGATATGGTTGTTTCTTTTCAGACATTAACACTTACTATTGCTCCAGGGGCGGTCGGGTAGCCCAGTGGTTAAAGCGTTCGCTCGTCACGCCGAAAGCCCGGGTTCGATTCCCGACATGGGTACAATGTGTGAAGCCCATTTCTGGTGTCCCCCGCCGTGATATTGCTGGAATATTGCTAAAAGCGGCATTAAACCATACTCACTCACTCACTACTATTGCTCCAATACTTAGTTGTAAGATTTCATGATTCCCTAGTGTTTAAAGAGTATAGTTATGAGCACGGAAGAATGAGCAATCAATGAAACCATATACATGCAACCGATATTACCATTATTATTATGAATTGTTCATGCACATGATAGTATTTACTTTTACCGTTGATATTTTTTACGAATAACATATGATGTATCTGTACCAACAATTAGTTGCTAAATGAATAACGTCAACGTCTGACACGGTTCTACACGCACATACCTTTGCATACAGCCAACGACATCGCCGTGATACGTCTACGAGAGCCTGTGACGTACGGAGACTGCGCGCTGCCCGCCTGTCTCCCCACATCCCGTGCCCCAGGGGACTGCGGTCACCAGGTGGTTGACAAGTGTGCATACGCCGGGTGGGGGCTCTATACCGGTGAGATTTACATCTGTGTGTATGGTGATTTAACGCCGCACACACTAATAATAATAATATTAATAAAAATAATAATAATAATAGGCTATATATATTGCCCATATGTCGATACCATCAGGAGCATGCTCAAAGCACTAATATTACCCCGGTCACTGGATCAGTGATCAGTGTGCACTCAAAGTCATTCTCAGCTCCCTGGGGAATATACAACCCAAGCTGCCTGTGAGGCGCTAGACGGTTAACAACCACATTGCCATCTCATCCTACTGGGTGCCCATTCACTGCTGGGTCAACATAACACCAGTTACATCACGGCGGCCTGTAAATATTCGACTATGAACCAGACAATCCAGTGATTGATATTATAGTCAGCGATCCACACTGTCAGGGTACGATAGAGCGCTATCAACCAAGTCACCATGCCTGTTCACTTTATGCATTACGTCGCCTCCTGTGTGCAGGATAGGTCGATGGGGACAAATAACACGGAATCACCAAGGTTGTGAGATTCAGGGAAAGTTGGAAAGTGTTGAAACTTTGGAAACTGGAATTGGTTGGATTCATGTTGTTTTATGTAAACCCTTTCATGAGTTCAACATGCTGTCATGTTTGAATTACTTAGCGGTATCAACTCAAATCGTTAGCAAGTCCGAAATTATCAACCTGGAATTGAAGAGCTAGCACTTGCTGAAACTTGTTTTGCTCACACAAATCAGTGAGATGTTTGTTCCATTTCAGACCGTTCCTTCTTACGTTCTGCAAAGATGCGAGCAGCATGGGGCAGGTACTACGACCAAGAGTTGTGCTCCACTATATACCGTTTGGGCCGTAACAACCTCAACCCTGCCAACACCGTCTGCATAGATCCCAAAATCCAGGACCAGAGACCATGTCAGGTAACATTGTTAGTTTCCTCTCTTGAAACGTTCTATGAGTGGTGGTTATTATGGTTTGAAACCCCTGATTCACCAAGACTCGAGTATGTTAAGGAGATAAACAAACAATGTAGAGCAAGTTTATCTGTAGATTTAACCGCGCTAAATTGAACAGCATTTAAATAGAATATGGCGCTCTGTATTCTCAAATAGTTTGTTTTACACCGTAATACTTCACTCACACTTATGACAGAAAGCATCTATTACGGTAAATTCTTCAACTAACAAAAGGTGGGCACCCCTAGAGAAAACTAAGCAAGCCTTGTAAAGGTTTCGTTCTACACCGTACGTCACTGTTATGACGTCATACCGCTCATTGTGACGCACAAGATGTGCCGTCACAATCGTATGTAGAAGAGCGTCAAACAGCAAGCTCTCTGCTGTCCTCAAAACTTGTAATAATTCTCCTTGCAGATTTATATCGTTTTTTCTGCACAAAATGTATTGCCACACATCCTTTGAATATTGTAGTAACAGCAACTTTGCATTTTGTTGCCTATACTTGTACATATAAGTATTTGACCCGTGAAGGTCTTCAGCAACCCATGCTTGCCGTAAAATGTGACTATGCTTGTCGTGAAAGGCGACTAACGGGATCGGGTGGTCAGGTTCGCTGACTTGGTTGATGCATGTCATCGATCCCAATTGCGTGGGTCAATCACTGTATTGTCTGGTCCAGACTCGATTTACTTACAGACCGCCGTCATATAGCTGGAATATTGCTGAGTGCGGCGTTAAACAACAAACCAATCAACCAATATATAAGTATTTAAATATGGCTACCGAAAATGACTGTAAATGAAGTATCATTCTAAAAATAATAGCTTCCTCGGTGATGTGGCCATCAAATCGAATGCTTCAATCAGAGTGATTTTATTGTGATTTGATACCTCTAACTTACCAATCAAAATCGAGTATTTTCCAAATTCATGGTAGACACAAAATGAGAAGTTGACATCCATAAATTATCTTCCTTATGAGAAGCTGACATCCATAAATTATCTTCCTTATGGGAAGCTGACATCCATAAATTATCTTCCTTATGAGAAGTTGACATCCATAAATTTTCTTCCTTATGAGATGCTGACTTCCATAAATTATCTTTCTTATGGGAAGTTGACATCTATAAATTATTTTCCTAATGAGAAGCTGACTTCCATAAATTCTTTTCCTTATGAGAAGTAAACATCCATGAATTATCTTCCTAATGAAAAGTTGACATCCATAAATAATCTTCCTAATGAGAAGCTGACATCCATAAATTATCTTCCTTATGAGAAGCTGACATCCATAAATTATCTTCCTTATGAGAAGTTGACATCCATAAATTATCTTCCTTATGAGAAGCTGACATCCATAAATTATCTTCCTTATGAGAGGCTGACTTCCATAAATTATCTTCCTAATGAGAGGTTGACATCAATAAATTATCTTCCTAATGAGAAGTTGACATCCATAAATTATCTTCCTAATGAGAAGCTGACATCCATAAATTATCTTCCTAATGAGAAGTTGACATCCATAAATTTTCTTCCTTATGAGATGCTGACTTCCATAACTTCTCTTCCTTATGAGAAGCTGACATCCATAAATTATCTTCCTAATGAGAAGCTGACATCGATAAATTATCTTCCTAATGAGAGGTTGACATCCATAAAGTATCTTCCGTATGAGAAGCTGACATCCATAAATTATATTCCTAATGAGAAGCTGATTTCCATAAAAAAAATTCCTTATGAGAAGCTGACATCCATACATTATCTTCCTTATGAGAAGCTTACATCCATAAATTATCTTCCTAATGAGAAGCTGACATCCATAAATTATCTTCCTAATGAGAAGCTGACATCCATAAAAAAAATTCCTTATGAGAAGCTGACATCCATACATTATCTTCCTAATGAGAAGCTGACATCCATAAATTATCTTCCTTATGAGAGGTTGACATCCATAAATTATCTTCCTAATGAGAAGCTGACATCCATAAATTATCTTCCTTATGAGAAGTTGACATCCATAAATTATCTTCCTAATGAGATGTTGACATCCAAAAATTATCTTCCTTATGATAAGCTGACATCCATAAATTATCTTCCTAATGAGAGGTTGACATCGATAAATTATCTTCCTAATGAGAGGTTGACATCCATAAATTATCTTCCTTATGAGAAGCTGACATCCATAAATTATCTTCCTAATGAGAGGTTGACATCCATAAATTATCTTCCTTATAAGAAGTTAACATCCATGAATTATCTTCCCTATTGGAAGTTGACATCCATAAATTATCTTCCATATGGGGAGCTGACTTCCAGAAATTATCTTCCTTATGAGAAGCTGACATCCATACATTATCTTCCTAATGAGAAGCTTACATCCATAAATTATCTTCCTAATGAGAAGCTGACATCCATAAATTATCTTCCTAATGAGAAGCTGAGATCCATAAAAAAAATTCCTTATGAGAAGCTGACATCCATACATTATCTTCCTAATGAGAAGCTGACATCCATAAATTATCTTCCTTATGAGATGTTGACATCCATAAATTATCTTCCTAATGAGAAGCTGACATCCATAAATTATCTTCCTTATGAGAAGTTGACATCCATAAATTATCTTCCTAATGAGATGTTGACATCCAAAAATTATCTTCCTTATGATAAGCTGACATCCATAAATTATCTTCCTAATGAGAGGTTGACATCCATAAATTATCTTCCTAATGAGAGGTTGACATCCATAAATTATCTTCCTTATGAGAAGCTGACATCCATAAATTATCTTCCTAATGAGAGGTTGACATCCATAAATTATCTTCCTTATAAGAAGTTAACATCCATGAATTATCTTCCCTATTGGAAGTTGACATCCATAAATTATCTTCCATATGGGGAGCTGACTTCCAGAAATTATCTTCCTTATGAGAAGCTGACATCCATAAATTATCTTCCTTATGAGAAGCTGACTTCCACAAATTATCTTCCTTATGAGAGGTTGACATCCAAAAATTATCTTCCTTATGAGAAGCTGACTTCCATAAATTATCTTCCTTATGAGAAGTTGTCATCCACAAATTAGCTTCCTAATGAGAAGCTGACTTCCATAAAAAAAATTCCTTATGAGAAGTTGACATCCATAAATTATCTTCCTAATGAGAAGCTGACATCCATAAATTATCTTCCTTATGAGAAGCTTACATCCATAAATTATCTTCCTAATGAGAAGCTGACATCCATAACTTCTCTTCCTTATGAGAAGTTGACATCGATAAATTATCTTCCTAATGAGAAGCTGACATCCATAAATTTTCTTCCTTATGAGAAGCTGACATCCATAAATTATGAGTATGAGTATCACTTCTAAATTCCATTCAAAGAACAGATTATGACACTCACTTATCGTACATGTAGGATGCTAGAACAGATACATGAAGATGTTCTTAATGTCAATGTTTTTATTTCAATCCTTGTTAGGGTGACGAGGGTGGAATGGTGGCTTGTGCTGAAAGAGGACGATGGATTCTGGAGTCTCTTATCAACGAGCCCAGCTGCCAGGACACCTATCCAACTTTGGGCGTCGACCTGCGCGCCTCCACCATCATCAACTTCATCAATTCAAACTGAAACATTGTCCCTTTCAAGAAGAGCCATCGAACTAATCAGTACCAGTGCTGCATATTAGATATGTATATACTTGATCATGTAATAAATGTGTCGATGGAAAGTATATAATGAGTTGTTAGTACATTCTCACCTACATAAGTGCATATGAACCATATGTAGTAAAATGAATGAGACTGTGTTCTGCAATCTGATTGATTAAACAATGCTGATTGATTGGATCCCTCAAATGTTTCACCGCGCATGGATACATTTCTTGCCAAGTATCTTTTTTTCTCAATCCAAAATTAAAAAACAACATGCCAACACACATGGCAAAATGGACAACACAATAAATAAATATTAAGTTAGTACAATATTTATCACAATTCAAAGAAACACTTTTTTATATCTTCTGCTGACAAGGCCAGTTCAGTTATCACGTCTTCACATGCTAGTCGTAAGAGGCGACTAACATGATCTGGTGGTAAGGCTCGCTGACTTTGTTGATGCATGTCATCGTATCTCAGTAAAGCGTAGATCCATGTTCGAATCAATCACGGGATTTTCTGGTCCAGATTCGATTATTTACAGACCGCCGTCTTATTAATGCGCTTTAAGATTTGTTCTTCAGTTTGTTTGGTAGTTTGGATTAGATATGAAGTGTGACTGAATGTATGAATGTGTTATATACATGGTCACATGCACACGAAGAGTGAATCACAAGTGGGACTGCTTTGTAAGCAGCTGGATGTTTCATACAGGTTTTGATGTATATGATTGTATTTGATTTAATAAGCTGTCTAACTTGTCGCCCTGCGTCACAAACCCTGGGTGATAGACGTTTTCAGATCTGCATATCATTTCATTGTAGCACATCAACGGTAGCTTATTTTTGTGGTAACAAAGTAAATTGGTGATTTGGTGAAACGCACAAGCACGGATGTGGTACTGTGAAACAGTTGCTAATAATCAGGGTGAATCTGGGCAATTCGAACACACGACCAGAAATCTGCGACGCGTTACACACTGTGCCCTCTGTGCCCCATGGTCTTACCATTAAATTTGTATAATGAATATCGTGATTTAACATAGTTCTCAGGTGTTGAGGACAGTAAATCCGGCTTTTGGGGGCTAAAGCCAATCAAGTAAAGATGCAGTTATTTACAAATCCCTTAATCACTGCTTAAGACGACGTTTAAAAGCTCCTTCCAATATTTCTAGTTTCATCATTTACGGTTACATTTGGCAAAGGCACAAATACCTGTCATAAAGTTTTTATCGTTTATACATATCTTAAAAACACTTCATGAAAAGGGGAGGGGTGGCCAAATCGTTTAAGGCGCCGCGATTCGCTGTGCCGAGTTGCGTCCCTTGGGCGCGCCAAAAACCTATGATTGTGGGTTCGAATCCCGTTTCGCTCCGATTATGTTTCTAGGTTTGTTACCGCCATACCCGTGCTCGTGGGTTTCACCGAAGTGGTAAACGTCTGAGACCTGCATCACTTCGGGCTTTCCTCACACATTCAGCTGACACGCAGCGATATAACTGTAATACTGTTAAAAACGGCGTTAAACCCAACTCACTCACTCACTTCATGAAAACTTTACACCTCCTTTCAGAAAAGAAAGTGTGCTTGCTTGCTGTAAACGGCGACTATGCTTGTCGTAAGAGGCGGCTAACGGGATCGGGTGGTCAGGCTCGCTGACTTGGTTGATGCTTGTCATCGTATCCTAAATGCGTGGATCGATGCTCATGATGTCAATCACTAGATTGTATGGTCAAGATTCGATTATTTACAGACCGCCGTCATATGTGAATAGTGCTTGAATAGTGCTGAGTGCGGCGTTAAACAACAAACAAACAAACATTGTTATTTTAACAAAAAAAATCAGAGAAACAAACCGTACATCCCTCAAAATAAATATCACTGAAGTCTGAAACTTTTAACAAAAGGAATATCATCTGATTATCATGATGGTTGGCAATGTGTATGTTATACCATTTAATCTGATTATAATTAGTATCATAAATATATTTTGATATTTCAAACAACATTACAACACTGTACGGTACATTATCGTTTAATTGAATATGTAAACAGTATTCATACATAACATCTTCATTCCGTGGGGATTCCGGGCTAGATTTGGCTGTAATAGACGACATTGTACTCCGACCTTGTCCAAAAGATCAATCACTGGATTGTCTGGCCCAGACAAGATTATTTACAGGCCATCGCTGCCGAGTGCAGTGTCAAACAAGAGACTATACTTCTTCACAAAAGACGACTTGTATGACATTTTGTTCCCCCTATTGTACTAATGTCATTTCCACCCAGTGTTTGTTTTTTATTCGCGAGTAAGAAAAATGAAAAGTTAAAAAAATGAATGCACACTTGGATGTGGGCACAAAAGATTCACAATAGTTGCATCTTGACTTCGTGAATGCAAAACTAGTTAAGAATTATGAACATTTTCAAAATATGCTCACGGCACCGTTATTGTGTCCAGCAAATTAATGGGCACACCACTTTCCTTCTTCGAATATTCTTCTGCAAAACACTGATTTTTTTGGTGTGATTTTGTTTATTTGTTGTTTAACGCCGCACTCAGAAATATTCTAATATATGACGGCGGTCTGTAAATAATCGAGTCTGGACCAGACAAACCAGTGATTTACATCATGAGCATCGATCCACGCAATTGGGATACGATGACATTCATCGACCAAGTCAGCGAGCCTGACCACCCGATCCCGTTAGTCACCTCTTACGACAAGCATAGTCGCCGTTTACGGCAAGCATGGGTTGCTGAAGACCTATTCTCCCCCCGGATTTTTAGGGGTCTTTGTGTGAAATGCAGTGAAATCTAACACTGAAAGGTATTTCAATGCTTATATATGTGAGTAAGAGATCAACATCAACATGTGCTTGGTATGGCGAAGATAGATATCTCGGGGAAACATCACATAAAGAACTATTAACGTTCCGAAAGCGTAGACTATGAATAGGCAGCAGTCACAATTCAGTTACCATCAATACATTTTCTCTTGACAAAAATAACTTTCCCCGGAAATATCATGAATCAGCAAACAGACGTAGCGACATACATTCAGTCATAACGAACAGCGAACAGGTTTAGGCAAACAACCGTGATATACACACATACTTCTAAATAAAGTTACAGTGATCTAGATTATGAATAAAGACAAATAAAATTAGTTGACGCTCATAAATATTACAATTGTCATCAACTCGAAATATTTAAAGAAGTAATGTTAGAAAATATCAAGAATCCTTATCCGAATAAATATAAAAAGTCGAAAATATGCGAGGATACGGATATGAGGTATGAAAGCATAGTCCTTTCAAAATGTATAGGGATAGACGATGCTCTTTTGTCTAACACTAACATTGTAATGTACACTTATATATTGAAAGATTCTTGCATACTTGATGATTTGACATTAAGACATGTTTTAGCTTTTCGCACACCGTTAACCCATGGATGGTTAAAGCGTTCTGTCGCTGCGCTGAAACCAATTCAAGTCGTTATGGTCATAACGTAAGTCCAGGGATTATATAACCTATATTACCTGTTGATTCATGGTTGGTTCCAGTGAATGGCGTATACAGCAACTGTACAACAATAAACTATTGATTGCTTAATGTACGAGGCATAGACATGAACGGTACTTATTGACCTGTGATTACCAATGGGAATACAGGGTTAGATCTAGAGTAGGTCCTCCACAACCCTTGCTTGTCGAAAGCGGCGTCTTATTGGATCGGATAGCCAGACTCTGTGACATTGGTTGACAGCTTGTCAATGACCTCGACAGCGTAGTTCGATGCTCATAATATCAACCATTATATTGTCTGGCCTAGACATTTACAGGACGTATGTACAGGACGCGGTCTCATAGGTGAATATTGATGACTGTGTCGTTAATCAAAACACAAACAGAGACACAAACACTTACACTCACTTATTTGTGAAGCATGACGTGGGTGTTTTTTACACATACATACTTGTGAATCATGACGTGTGTGTTTTGTACACATACATACATACATGTGAAGCATGACGTGTCTGTGTGTTTTGTACACATACATTCATGTGAAGCATGACGTGTGTGTATTGTACACATACATATATATGTGAAGCATGACGTGTGTCTGTTTTGTACACATATATAAGAGTGAAGCATGACGTGTGTGTGTGTTTTACACATACATACTTGTGAAGCATGACGTGTGTGTATTGTACACATACATATATATGTGAAGCATGACATGTGTGTATTGTACACATACATATATATGTGAAGCATGACGTGTGTGTATTGTACATATACATTCATGTACATGTGAAGCCTGACGTGTGTGTTGTACATATACATACGTGTGAAGTATGACGTGTGTGTTTTGTACACATATATACTTGTGAAGCATGACGTGTGTGTATTGTACATATACATTCATGTACATGTGAAGCCTGACGTGTGTGTTGTACATATACATACGTGTGAAGTATGACGTGTGTGTTTTGTACATATACATTTGTATGAAGCATGATGTACGTGTGTTTTGTACACATACATACGTATGAAGCATGAGGTGTTTATGTTTTGTACACATATATAGTTGTGAAGCATGACCTGTGTGTATTGTACCCATACACAAAACGCACAATGCTGTTCTGCAAACCGCCACAAGGTAACTCATGTGAAAGGCTCTTTCACAGTAACAATACCACTTTCCCGGAGAATATATGTCAATTCGTCAGAATGTCTCAAGGCCAACTCGGCGCACCAACACCTGCATTCCTGATAACTGTTGATTCTGTCTCTGGGAACGCAATAAAATAATAAAACAAGTTTTTGAACAAATAAGAGTGCATGTCATGGTGACACGGTTTTTGAAGACCAGCAAGAACAATGGAGCACACAACACTTTCACATTGGAAAAGTCATTTGGTTTTTGGCGGGTGTGGGTGAGTTCTGGATTTTCTCGAGATTGTGTTTGTCAGGAGTCAATCAATTTGTTATTTCCTTATATTTATATAACATTAAGTAACAAAATATCGATCATGTCTAATGAACCATTATTAGTTTTGGGGCTTA